GACTATCGGGGTGAGGGCCACTGGCCGATAGTCATTCAGACCAGTCACTGTAGAGCTTTTTGGGACTGGGATGATGGTGGCAGTCTTCAGGCAGGTGGGAACTGTCTCCAGGGTAAGTGAGGTGTTAAAGATGTCTGCCAGCACCTCACAGAGCTGATCAGCACATTCCTTCAACACTTTTCCGGGGATGTTGTCTGGGCCAGTTGCTTTGTGCGGATTAATCCTCCTGAAGGTACTCCTTACTTCTGCTGAGGTCACGCTGAGATGCTCTTCATCTGGTGGTGAGGTGAGTCTGGTGCTGGGTGGTCTGTTCGGGTCTTCAAAGCGTGCATCTCCACCTCAGACCTTCAACCTGACTTTGACATTTCCTTTAAAGCCCAACAGAGACTAAACTTCTCTCACTAAACAAGAAAAAAGAACTGGTAAACACCAAATGAGATGTTTAGACTACAAATGTAGGCACGTAAAGAACCGGGACTCGAAATCACAGTTCAGTGACGATCACTATTATATGATGTTTCATAATATTTGGAGTGCAAAGACAATATTGTGATATATTTACAAAGCTAAGAACTTTTTCCAGCAGCATATAAAACTCAAAATGAGTTTTGGGGTGAATGTGACTGAAAATGATCATTAATATAACGTCACAAATGGTAAAAATATTAACAGTTTACCATTGTACTGGGAAATTTAATTGAATAAATGACATTTTTGTAAGGAAACCTCGCTTTTTCGTTGCTTAATCATAACAAATACTCTTACCAGCTTGTTAAAGCAGTGCTATGTACTGCTTTTAATAATGAAATACTATTAATATTATGCAGTATTGAGTTAAGTTGAAATCAGGTCTCTCTTGTAAATGAGTCCTCGAGGCTCAATGGGATTTACCTGTCTAAATAAAGGTTGAATGAAAAAGTCATTTGTGCCAGCCCTCCACAATATTTGCTGTTTCTCATGTGGCCCCATGGAAAAAATAATTGCCCACCCTGTTATACCACACTTACCATGTCATTACATATTACAACGGCCTGCCATACAGGGAATCAAAACAAATATTTCTCTCCAGCCGCTAGGTGGCAGCATCGAGGAAAAAAGCTGCAGTTAAACCTGAAAGAAAGAAAAAAAAAGGAAACGTGACGTCATTTCACAGGGACAAAGTATAACGGGGCCATGACTTATTGAGTTTTAACTCCTTTAATTCTCTCACAATGTTGGCCTGTAAACGAATCTGCAGTAGCACCGTAGCCTCCGCTCTTCGCAGCAGCAAAGTACGGAACAAAAAAACGGTCCTCCGTTGCATTGTCGCGTGCCTGTGAATTAATTTAATGTATTGTGTTCTCGCGCTTCAGGTGGCTGTTTCTGGGCACAGGTGTCTGTCCACACAAACTGACGGAGAGGTCCGCATCGCACAAGTACTGAAAGAGAAGTTCCCTTTGGCTTCAAAGCTCAAAGTTGTGGATATATCAGGTAAATGGTCGCACTGTTGACCTTGTGTTAAACTGCATGTAAACAACATGACATTAAACGCGTGTGTGTGTTATTAACCTATTTGATTGAAGTCTTATCAATTAAACACAATAAAGACATACAAGATGGCACCAGTGAAGGAGGTTAGACAAGGTCACTTGCTTTTAATTAAACTCACAATTGTGTGAAAAACATTTATTTTAAGGTGTTTGTGACAATATATTTATCTCGATTCATCAAGTGTTATTAACATGTTACTATGTCACAACAAAAATGACAACATAAACTAAAAGATAAGATTTATTTTACAACTGAGTTTAGGCAAATATGACCTAGATTCAGCTGTTTCTTTAATACAATTTTGCCCAGTTAATATTCTAAATTGGGAATTGATCTCACGCTTGGTCAGATCCTAGTTTACTGCTCATGCCTAAAATTTGTTTTGTTTTATTACTGGCTTTGTAGTCATCTTTAAAGCACTTTTAGTAAGCTTTTGTAATTAAAAAAATGCTTTAATCTATGGAAAGATGACTATTGATAAAACTGTTATCATTGTATTGATTTATCAATTGTAAAACAATGGTGACAACATAGTTTTAATTGACAGTTTTGTTATTGTCGTCTTTAGGTGGCTGTGGGGCCATGTATGAGATCCACATAGAATCCAGCGAGTTTAAAGGGAAACGGACCGTTCAGCAACACCAGTTAGTCAATCAGGTAAATCCATATCTCTGTAAATCATCTGTGGTTGTATCAAGGTATTGACAAGCCCAAATTTACGAGTCACGTTGTGTTATTTACAACACAGTCAACAAACGAGTTGGCATACGCTTTGTAGGGACAATTTGCAAATAATACAGCGTTTCATTGCATTGTTGACCTCGTGTTGATTTGCACACCTGAAATCCTGAATTCATACCTTTTCTTTCAACAAAATAAAAGTTGCAAAAATCTATCAAAGCAGGAAGTATAACTGTTTTTTTTTTTTTTAAAAAAGGGCATTCCTTTAAGCTTGTTGCTAACTACATATTTTAAAGTTAAACCTTTAATTCCAAAAGGATTGCTCTATTTTTTCTGTTGCTTGCAAAAGAAAGGTTTTTATGTCGAACTGGGGAGCAGGTAAAGTAAAAAAAAAAGAGAATCTGAACTCTTTAAGCTTATCTTGGGGCACCTGTAAGGGCACTGCTTTAAAGCAAACCGCTGTTTGCTGCTTTCATTTTGTTGTATTAACATAAGCAAAGATTTAGTCTGTTTTATTAAAACATTATAGTCTTTATAATGTTGGAATAAATCAATGTAGTGTAATAACTGTACTGAAGCTTGCATCCATGTTGGATGGTCAATGCTGAATCCAAGTCTTAGCCATGTTTATGAAATGTTCAAGATAATTTCCTTTTCCTTTGGTGAACTTTAAATAAAACAAATGTTATATGGTTCCTATTAAAATTGAACTGACTGCATTTTATCTTGTGTCCTCCACAGGCGCTCAAGGATGAAATTCAAGTCATGCATGGCTTGAGAATCTTTACTGACATCCCGAAACAGTAGAAAAACACCTCCAACTTCTGCCCCTTCACCTTTTATTGTTCACTTAGTAAAACGGTATCGATGCAGGAGAGCTGCTGTCACTCAGCTCATGTGTTTGATTGTTACAGGTAACTTGCTCGCAGCAGAAATGCAGTTTTCCTGCAGTTACTGTAGGACACTGATGATGTGAAATAAATGTACAGTGAGATTACACTAAGTCCTTTTATAACTAATGAAAATATATTTTACTCAGAGATCATTTTATAAAGATCAAAGCTGAAGCACGCACAAAAGTGACTTGATACAATGTTAGCTTAACATCAAGTCTTCTTCTTTGGGGTTTCTCAGGATAGTTAGTGAGGTGTTAACCAAGCTGTCCAAGAGGAAACTCATGCAGCTATCAACAATTGCAGACCCTGTTTTACATTGTTTTCCTGAAAATATGACCACATTTTATGTTTTACAGCTCCAAAGGTGATTTATTTTAAACCTGCTACTAACATTTGCGCACAAGCCTTGTGTTTATGTTCTGAAAGTGTTGAAATAAAAAGCAGCTGCTTTACTTGTTGACTACTTTGCTTTTTGTGGCTAAAATCAAAATTGTTGATTATTTTGTAATTTCAGCAGTGGCGCTATTAGTGCTACTATAACACTGGTCATGTTTTCCTGACGTCTCTTAACATTGGCACGTAGTTGAAAAACTCTGAAAGTGCTGACCCAATAAAGGCTTAAAAAGTGTTTTTAGTTAATATTTTAATTAAAAATGAAGCTTGTTCTGCTTTATGAAAGTTTGAAACATCACATAAGTGCTAAAGATTGACTGAAAATGTAGTAAAATAAGCTAAAAACAAATCCTTCTGTCCTTCCTGGTTTCTTTCCTTGACACCAAACCTGCCCATCACTTCCTCATCCCCTCTGCTTCCTTCACCAACATGTCCATTCAGGTCTGCTCCGACCACTCTCCTCCCAGATCTTTCCTAATCGTATCTTTCTCCTCCACATCACATCCAACCTGTGGAGCATAACCACTGACAACATTTACCTTCAGACACATCTGTTATACTTTTCATCTACAGCATTCTTTGTCAACTCCTCCTTCAGGACCCTACTCCATTTCTCTTTCTGTCCACACCATGGTAAAACAGTTTAAACTCTGCTCCAGTGCTGTGAGCCTCACCGCCCTTCTTCTTGGACACATAAAACACCTACCTTCCTTCTCTGCATCATGCCAGCCAGTTTATTTTGTAGGCCACACACTGTATCCATGACAACGTTACACTTGCTGCTTTGCCATTTTTAAAAACTTTAGGCTCGGTATTTTTAAATGGTATGATTTTAAGAAAAGACTTGCTTTTGCATCTGCACGAGCTTTAATATCAGAATTTTGAAGTTTTGCGCGCGCCCTACCAGCAGATGGCGCACTTTAAGCTTCGTGCAACAGCTTCTAAAACAACATGATTCAAAATTAGCTTATTAAAATACTAATTTTTCGGTGGCGAAACCGTGCAACTATGTGCTTCGTACTGCAAGATAAGTTGTGTTTTGGCCTCTTCATGGAAACGGGACCGGATGAGGCAGCAGGTGATTACGCGCGCGTCTGCGGTGCTCGCCACATCACACCGGAGGAGGCGCGCAGCCGGACAGCTTCGACATGGCTAAAGAAGGAGCAGACATGACGGAGGAAACCGAGTTCATGATAGACAGAAACGTGGGGCAGGAGACCGTGAGCGTGGAGTCACGTGCTGGGAACGCCAAAGAAATGCGCGCAGTGATGTTAACGGGCTTTGGAGGTCTGAACAAAGTCCGGGTGAGCAGGAAGGCAATGCCCGAGCCTCAGGATGGAGAGGTCAAGATACGCGTCAAAGCCTGGTGAGTGGGAGTGATAGAAGCACTCTCACTGGTGCTTTTTATCACTATTATTCTGAGCTCTGCAAAGAGCTCACGTGAAGCCACAGGTCTTTTCCAGTGGAAGAGCTTCCATTCATTAAAACTGATGTCAGCATTTTCCAGATCATTCTAAACAGCTCTATAAGGCACCAATTTATAAAACCTTCCCCATCAGTGTTGGCAGACACTTCACTCAAATTAAAGTGCGTTCGTCTTTATTCAGAGCAGAATGTTTGCTGGAATCTGGCCTTGTAAGTCCCAGAGGACCAGCCTATGACTCACTGATAATAATGAAAATAGTAGGTAACCCTTAAATCTGCTACCAGCTCACATTAAATATGATTTTTTTAATGAAACAGTGTCTGTCTTAAGGCAAGCTAAAGTGTTAAATCAGATGGATTCAAAGTCAACAGACAAGAAGATTCTTCTTGTTTTTTGTTGCAGTGGCTTGAATTTTCTGGATTTGATGGTTCGACAGGGGAACATCGACAACCCTCCAAAAACCCCCATCGTCCCTGGATTCGAGTGCTGTGGCATAGTGGAGTCGGTGGGGGGAAACACAGAGGGATTTGAGGTTAGTGCAAAACTGAGGCGAGTGTCTGCTTGCTGCTGATGCTACGATAACATTTTGCTTATTTTTTACAGATTGGAGACAAAGTTATGGCGTTTGTGAACTACAATGCTTGGGCGGAGGTGGTTTGCACACCAGTGGATTTTGTCTACAAGATGCCAGATGAAATGACGTTTGCAGAGGCGGCAGCATTCTCCCTAAACTTTGTGGCTGCTTATATGATGCTCTTTCACGTTGCCAGTCTGCAAGAGGGAATGTCAGTGCTGGTCCATTCAGCAGGAGGCGGCGTGGTAAGTACACAGAGCAGCAGTTCACCAATTCACCACAGAGTTTTGCGTTGCGACATATTCAATAACGTTCTTAAAAACACAATAAACACAACGCAGGTATAAATTGCTGCACGCAGCGTGCTGATGAACACTTATTATTTCCAGGGACAAGCTGTGGCTCAGCTGTGCGCCACCGTGCCAAACGTAACCGTGTTTGGGATCGCCTCCTCTTTCAAGCACGCAGCCATCAAAGACTCTGTGACTCACCTCTTTGACAGAAACGTGGATTACATACAAGAAGTCAAAAAGTAAGCATGCCATGTCTGTCTGCAGTGCAACTGATTTGATGCTCAGACGTCCTTTTATTGTTTTTATGGTGTCTTTGTAGTTTGTGCCTGTTCTTTATGTTAGCTGATGTGATATCAGGGGTGTTGCTGAGGGCAGAGAGCTATGTGAGGATGCAGATGTTGCCGGTTGCCTTATTTGTGCTTATGTGGCAGTGGTCCCCATGGCAACTCCAGGCTCTGCTCACAGAGAGGAGTGGAGGTCTGCTTGTGGAACAACTGAACCAATTAGAGCTGGGCAGCGATACCAAATGTTACATCCTGTCAGCTGGAGGACTTACAATACAAACAAACACACGTTGCAGTCATGTGATGTGCTGTATTGATAATATTTATTTATTCTCATTGTAAAAATGTACAGATTTTCCACAAGCACTAATAAAGTTAAAATTTTAATTAAAAAAAAAAGGATTTTGTTATTTCAAATTATTCCAAATGATTCTTTAGTAGTTGACATTTCATGCTTTTGACCCACATTTTAGCTGTGGTTGTGGATTAGTAATGCTTTTCATCTCTCTGGTCTACACATTCCTCCCAGGATCAAGTACAAAGTTCAGTTAAATTAGTTTTTTTACAAACGCCGTGAGAATCACAAGACCACGAGACATTTTGCCAAGCTGGTGTTCAGAGTTGTACGGCAGACAGCGTGCAATTGTGGCTTCTCACATTTTTATTTCTATTCCTTTATTTGAGTCAGATTTGGACCTTTTTTAAAAATGTGATTCATGGTTTGTTTGAAATCTTGTGTTGTTTTTTTTTGTTTGTTTGTTTCATTGCAAAACATTAATAATCTCTGACAGGCAGAGTCAAAAGAAAAACGTGGCTTCTGCATCACGTTTTTTTGACAATGAACAGCACAAGTAATGCCCGAGGAAGCAAATGATCATATTTGATGTGTTCAAATTGGAATGTAAAGCCGCTCCAGAGAATCAAATCTACATTTATGGTCTCAGAACCTCTTCTCCATTTTATTTATTATTTAATCTTCCCTGGTAAACACAGTTTTCCAGACATTTTTCAGCTTTTTGACTCGTGCATTATTTAAAAATTCCAAATTATTTTCATCGATTACTTTACTAATCTAATTGCTTCTGGTCTACAACACAGTCATCAGGCCTGAAACAATTTGTCAAATAACTGATTAGTTGTGCAGCAAAATTCCAACAGTGTGTAACTTTTATTGTTAATTTGAGCATAAATATTTATGTCATTCATGTGTGGACAAAAATAATGAAAAATACAACATGCAGTTCTTACAGTTCTCAAGATGACGTGTTGAAGTTTCCTTAATGTTCAGTTGGAAGCTAAAAATAAATCAGCATGAATAAATTATTTTTCAAGTTATTTTTTTTTTTGTAATTCTTTTTATATTTAAAACACAACATAAATATACATATTTGCAGTCGAAGGATTGAGTTGACTGACTGATGGATGTCAGTGGATTGGTTTGAAAAATAAAAAGAGCTTTTTATCTGACCCCAGTTAGAAAAGAACAGTTTTTTTTACACTGAGGAGCCACATCTTTAACACGACCAGAAGAAGTTGGGTAGACGTGTCCTCCTAAACCGATGGTCCCCTTTGTTAACGGACTTCATGTTTGCTTTGATCTGCAGGATTTCTCCAGATGGAGTTGACGTTGTTCTGGACTGCCTGTGTGGAGAGAACACAGGGAAAGGCCTGAGTCTGCTGAAGCCTCTGGGGACCTACATTCTCTACGGTAGGAATAATATCTGCCTCTTTGCTGTCATAATAATCACAATTAATAATAATTATAGGTGATAATAATCAAATGTGTAGCTTGTTATCATTTAAGCTAATATTACTACCTGTGAAATACATATATATATACTAGCACCGTTATATTCTACCATGTTGTTGTTTATTATATTTCTTTTGGACCAGTGGTGTAGTGTACGTTTTTGTAGTGGGTATACTGTGCTTAGAAACCAAAGTACACTGGTTACTTCAATGTAATCGTCAATTTATTTTTGACTCTTAAGCATATTGAACATTTTCAAATGTATCTGATGCTTATATTTGAATAAACGAACAACAAACTTTGCACAACAGTTGGCTTTGTATTAAAAACATGCTATAGAATGTATAAAACAGTATCAAAGCAAAATTGCATTCAAGTATTAAGTAGTAAGTACAGAAGTTGATTATATAATAATTTGCTGCATAAGCAAATGTAATAAACAAGCGCTGCGTACAGACAGATTGTTATGGAAGCGTTAACTGCCGTTTAACATATCAATGACACGTGTCTGATGATGTCATTTATCATTGGGCACTTCTATATATGTATACTGAAATTCTTATCTGTATACTTTGTATGCCCGCGTATCGCATAGACTACACCACTGTTTTGGACCCTGTAAATATTATACTTCTTTTTCACTTTTTGTACTTTCTTTTGTACACTTATTGCATGCTTTAGTATTTCCTCTTTGTTTTTTAGCGAGTTGAATCGATTCTTGTCATCCTGAACATTTCATTGCATTGTTGGCTTGTGTTAACCTGCATATGACAAATAAACAACAAAACATAACTTTGCCTAAACCTTAACTAGAATTTTCGTTAAAACATATTTTTGATAAATTTGATATATAAAATTCCCATGTTTTTTTTTTTACAATTATTTGAACAGAAGTCTTGTCATTATTTCTTAAGTTAAAGCTATTAACTAAACTCTGACTCTGAAAATGTGCAACTGAGTATAAAACACTTTGTTACAATATAATTGACATTTATAATATTTTTGAATGAGATAAATAAACCTTAAAATTTGTTATATTTGTTTTTTTAAACACTTCAAAGTGAAAGTAATTATTTATGTCTGCAGCTGCTTTTCTAATCATCAATAATCTTAAATTGAATAGTTTTCATTTGATACTATTTCTATCTTAACATGTGATTCTTGGCCTGCCATTGTGTATCTATTCCTACCAAACCCAGCCGGTCGAAGCAGATGGTCCTCTTGTCCTGATCCTGGTTCTGATAAAGGTTTCTTCCTCATGAGGGAGTTTTTCCTTTCCACTGTCGCCTTCATGCTTGTTCAAGATGAGAGTTCTGTGATGGAGTTAAACTCAAAGCTGCTCCTCAGATAAATAAAGTTAAATTATTATTTTTATATATGAATGTTTCTGTTCGGTGCCTGAGACGACTTCTGTTGTGACTTGGAGCTACATTGAATTGAATTACTGTGACTTAGTGGTTAGAGCAGTTGTCCTCCAATGTGGAGTTGGGGGTTCGATTCCACCAGCAGTCACATGCCGAAGTGTCCCTGGGCAAGACACTGAACCCCTCATTGCCTCCAATGTGTGTCCCATCGGTGCATGAATGCGATAAAGCACGGATTATTCTTCGCATAGATCTAGTAGAGTGCTGTCTGAATGGGTAGATGATTGTGGTGTAAAGCGCTTTGAGTGTCTTGATCAGATAAAAGGTGCTTTATAAGTCAGTCCATTTACCATTTACCATATATTTATTGTTTTGGCAGCTGAAAACATTAAATGCTTGTTTGACATATTTCCTAGCCTGTAAATGAAACGTATTTTTCATCACTGCTTGCATTATCACACTCTGTCAAGTCTTGGGCATCCAGTAGCTTCATTAGCAGAAGATTAATTTGTAGCAGTAGCACTAAACATATGCAAAGACATGCTTCCACACTTCTGAAGGTCTAAGGAGGCTACTTTTCCTCCACCACCTCGCTCTTCTTGCGTCATAGCTGCCCGTTATTGACCAGCCACGTCTGTCCAGCCTACACCAATAATCCTTTTCTTTTTGTTTTTTCAGGCGCATCGAATATGGTCACTGGGGAAACAAAAAGTTTCTTCAGCTTTGCAAAATCTGTGAGTCAACGATGCAGACTAACATCCATATTTGAAGGGAATAGTATCCTGTAACTACACCACGATTTTCATATATGAATGAGTCCCTCAGGGTTCACGTGTATCTGGTTTGTTTTATTCTGCAGTGGTGGCAGGTGGAAAAGGTGAATCCTATTAAACTGTATGAGGAGAACAAGGTCATAGCAGGATTCTCACTCCTCAACCTCCTCTTCAAACAAGGGAGAAGCAGTCTTGTGAAAGCAGTGATGGACAAACTCTTGTGCCTTTATAGACAGAAGAAGATCAAACCTGTAGTGGACTCTCTGTGGGCACTGGAGGAGGTAAGAACTAATCAGAATCAGAAGAAGCTTTAATATCGTTACACCGTAGTACAGTAAGTGAGATCATGTTCGTACAGTCATCTGAAAGATGGGCGGAGTTCACGTTGCTGCTGCTTCTAAGAGCGCGGCCCCTTGAGGAAAGGATAGTGGTATTACAAATAAGATCTCTTCACACCATCGGACACAATTTAAGACATCAAAAACCTCTACCAGTAAGCACATTTATAGGCACATTAAAAATGCATTTGACGGCAAGACGGTGAGATTTATCCATGAAGCACTTCCAGATAGCACCATAGTCCTGATAAGATGTTGGTGTCAGCTGGTTAAGTGTGGTGCGGATAGAGCAGAGCTTTCTTAGTTTTACACATATCCCAGGAGAAATTTGATAAGTTGGCCTGCTTCAAGGCCGAACAGGGGAGTCAGATTTAGAAAAGCCACAGTTGATGATTTTTTTCAGGCAGACTTTTATTTCTCGTCAGCCTTAAGTCTCTGTTGATACTTTCGATAATCCATATTGGTCAGATTTGTGGGCATTCCACTGGTCCGTGCTTATTAGCTCCCTCAAAGGTCATCCCCAACATGCTGGTGAGTCCCAGAAGCCGCAAATGGTCTGCGATTCTCACAAATCACTTCCATCTTACGGTTGAACTCGTAAATCAGCTGATTTTGAGTACTCAAAGCACAAACCAAACCTTCAGTTTTGCCATGGCCGAAACATCCTCTGCCGTCTTCTTTAATAGCCGATAACGTAGGTATCCGACGGTGTCAAAAAGCAGAAACCCTGCTATCATGATTCCAATAATCTAAACATCTTTGGCATCCTCCTGAGACAATACGGAAAGGAACATCAGCTTCCAATCCCACCACAGAGCCATGACGTACCCTGCTGCGTGCATCTCAGCACGGCATGAGGGTTCTCCAGGACCCTGTCGCTTGGTTGAAAAAAATGTTATCAATTGCGTTGGAAATCCAGCTGACCAGATCCATGACAGTAGTTTACAATTCGGAAGATGTGTAAATAGAAGCTCCGTTACACAAGACAGAGAGCAAAAAGCAGGAGGGAGATGGGAGAGGGAAGAATGGCAGCCTCTTGCTCAAGGGTGAGTGAGGACAAAAGGGTTTGAGATGATCAAATGAACTCCACATTGCAACATTCTAAAAATCTTATAGTCTTAATGCTTAGGTAGACATGACTCATCAGTGAATGTATCCTGATGCATGCTCAATAACCCAGGTAGAAAAATCTAAAAACATTAAATCTGGTCCTCTGGACATTCATTCTGGCTTGTTTTTTGAATGTCCAGAGGACCAGATTTAACTTTTTTAGATCAGTAAATGTAGTAAATACTAGTAGTTAAATGTATTTTATCAGTAAACATTTCTATTTTATTGGTAGATGAATACTTAAAAATAGACATTTAATGCATCGTACAGCTATCAAACCTTCCCTGACAGCAAGACGCATTGATGGATTTGGATTTGTAATAAAAAACTAAAAAACAAGCATTGCAATCAGTCTGCCTGAATTACAAAGAGCTTTTTGTATAGCACCAGAGACATATTGTCATTCTTATGTTGGGCTGGCACTGTTGTGTCAGCATGAACGGTGCGCTCAGTAGACTGTGAGAAGTGTTAAAAATAAGCGATCTTGAGTTTGAGGCTCACACACTGATTTATTTTGGCCTTGGCTGAATGCAGATGTTTTTGAAAGGTCTCAGTCTAGGCTAAACTTTGACTTCAAAACAAAAATTTGCCAGATTTTATCAATCTATGCGCAGTTTAAATGTTCTTTAGATGTTTTTGTCAACCAACAAAATGTTCACAGTTTTTAATTTTAAATTTTTATTTTGACATTGCCAAGCCCTTTGTGGGTCTAGAGCTCTTTGTGATGTGGTTATTTTAACTAATGGTAAACTCTAACGTCACTTTCAAACGGTAGACTCTACTGTAGATAGAGTGCAGGGTTAATTAAAAGTGTTTGACCCCAGCTTGTCTTTTTCACGTGAACGCTGTAGTTAAACCTCCCACCCTGCTCATGTGCATGTCTCTTATTTTCTTCATGTTATTCTGTAAGACCACAGGGCACCAGAGAAGAGTGGATAAACTTCTTCCATTCATCCTTTACTGTATGTCTTCTTGCCTTTCTGCACAAGTTTATTTTTGTTGAGGCACAAGTGATTGAGACGCTTAGAATAAATTTATTTTCAGCCTGTGCAGAGTTTAGATTAAAGGATATGCAGCGTTACGTCTCAAGAATCTCCCTGCAAGTCACTCTGAACTTTGTAACTTCAGTCAAAAATAGAAAAAGCTGTTGACGAGTTCTCTGCTGTCCTCGGATTTTTATTTCTCATGGGAAACTTCCCATGAAGTGTTGTCATTAAACTCTGGCAAATTGTTGAGGCTATTCACTGAAACCATTGCCCATGAAGAATTTCATTAGAGGGCTAGGTACTGTAGCGTGGGATGTGGTGTCCGGCCATAACCTGCCTCACTCATTAATATGCCTGGAAGGAGAAATAATTGGGCGCTAGTTTACATGTTGACCATGGCAACCTTTCTTTTTGGACTGAATTGTTGCAGAATATGAATCTGAGTGGAAGTGAGATGTTTTTCAGCCACCAGCAGTATTAAGGATGAAAATAGACATTTGTTTTAAAGGTGAATGTTGTCAAGGTGCAGAGAAACAACGTCAGCTTTTTAGAATATTTTGTATGAATGCATCCATCCATCATCTTTACCCACTTCTTCCTTTCCATTTGAACCAGCAACCTGTTCGCTGAGAGGCAGCAGCTCTACCAACTGAGCCACCGTGCCACCCTGGTCAATGATGAAAAATTAATTAATATTCTTTTGAGCAATCAAGTTTGAGACCAAGTTACATAGTTTCTGTAGTTGCAGATTGTTTGAGATGGTGTGACAGTGAAATGTACTGTTCGATACAGAAATTATGATAAATGTGAAATGCCTCTCATTTGCGTGCCGATGTAAGGATTCCTCTAACATAGTTTTAAACCTTCAGGTCAGTGTACACTGCTTTTTTTGGCCTCATTATTGTGAAACATTTGGGCTTTTGTTTCATGCAAAGGCCCCTCTTGACCCTCCATTGTCCTCACATGGCTGCTCACAACAACAGATCAGTGGGTTCGTTCTGTGATTACAGAGGAGACGTCTGAACATCCAACCTGCTTTTAGCTGCCAGACTACATTAGACTGTTCATTTGGACCAAATGTCAGAGTTTCTTTAGCTTCAATAAATTGTCCAAACCATTGCGAAGTGATACAAACTTGACACGTAAGTCGTGCTTCAAAGAAACATACACACTCCCCATAAGCCTAATATTTTGTAGTCTGCATTTAAACAAATAGATTATACCATATGCACACTTTATATGTGATTTAGACAATTTCCAAACTGTGTGGCATTATTGCATATTGAAACTATTTATTTTTATTTTTTGCCCTCAGGTTAAAGAAGCCATGCAGAGAATTCATGACAGAGGCAACGTAGGAAAACTCATTCTGGATGTTGAAAAGTCTCCAACTCCTCTGGTAAAACATTATTTAAAATCCCTTTCAGTGGTTTTTATTATTTCATTTGCAAAAGGCGAAAAATTATCATATCAAATACATCAACAGACATAGCTTTTGTTTGGTTTCATTTGGGCAAATAGATTGAGAGCAAGGGATACGGTGTTTTACTTTCTGCAACGAGTAACAAAGTTAAAGTACAACACAGTACAAAACCAGGTTAGAAGAGTCCATAAAAGTTGAACAAAATGGCACAAATAAAGACCATATCAAGTATTTTCAAGTCTTGTTCACATAACGAGGTTTCTGAGTATCTGAGCACTTTTACCGTTATAATAAAGCAGCGATTAGGCAATGAAGATGTATAAAGGCTACAATTCAAACTTTAGTTCAAGCCGTTCAAATTAAATATTGCAATTAAAGTTCTAGTCACTGATTTTTAAAAATCTCCCTCTTTTGATGATAAACATTTGTGATCTCTGCGATAATTGAGTTCAAGGCTGTTTAGAAGCACCAGGTAAGATTACCTCATCTTACAACAGCATCTTTCTTATTGTTCTCGCGACCTTTACAAACAAACATGAGCAATAAACGACACAAACAGACCAGGAATATAGTCATTTTGACAAAGCACATTTATAGATTTAACGTGTTAACATTTTTCCACGTTCCTTCAATTTGTCTGAGTTAATTGCAGCTACAAATGTATTTTTTTTACCACTAGATGGCCAGTGACAGTACAGAGACCAGTGAGGCAGGAGAGGAAGAAGAGGAGCCAGAGGGAGACAATGACAGCAAGGAGCGAATGCCCTTCATTCACTAGAGCCAACAAAACGCCAACTGAGTTCACATAGAGACTGGAGCGTGCACAGATTCACCACAGAGGAACACAACCACATGAGTGTATACCTGCATGTCCACTTTGCCTAAATACTATATGAATGTACAGTACATGCTTGTTCTTGTTGTTTGTTAACTGTTAGTTTGTTGATCATGCAAACGGGATGTGAAGAATTACACACTTGTAGCCCCGGAGCCATTCTGAAGCCAGTATTTTACTTTTTACAGTGATTTCATGTAATGGGTGTAAGAGCTAACCACATCTGGCAACAGTGTGCTGAATAAGCAGCAACGTGAAATCTGCTGATCTGCTAACATTTATAATATGCTCCCATACGTAGGTGCGGTAAAGCAAAAGTAAAGTAAACTGTGAGAGTAAAGTGGATTTTTATTCTCACTTGTCTTCAATAAAAAGGCCCGGCATATTCCATCCAAATGTGACCAGTCGACCCAAGGTCACGTGGTTGCGGGACGTTCGTTTTCGTACACATCTTTCATAGTCCACGAGCTACAGGTGAAGAGCTCCTAGTAAACCCGTCCCGCTGCAGTATACGTCACCGCGTGGGTTTCTCCTCACCAGAGTCTCCACTCCGTCCCTGCATCCAGCGTCTGGCCACAAATCTATCATGAAGAGAGCACCACACTTTGCAGCAGACCCTCCATACACAATGTCTGCATGACCTCAGTCCAGGAGGTTTTAGCCATTTGGCTCATTTAGTGTGTTTGAAGAGTCGTAAAGCTGAACGTCCGAGCACATTTCCACATCGAAGAGCACAAACTTCTGACCAATCACACAAAACTTGGCGCACACGCCTGTGAGAAAAAGTTTGGCCCCAGGCCTTGTGTCGAGAAGGGGCGGGCGAAGCTGCTCTGAGAATAAAATGACACGATTTTCGTCACGCAACTGAAACAATGAGAGACGATTTCGCCGATTTGGATGGAGCATGCCGGGTCCTTAAGGACTTCTGATAAAGGTTGGAGACAATCTCAGTGTCTTAATGCTTTTTGCTAACTTAGTTAATGCCTTATTTGAGTTCAAATAAACAATGTGCCAGCAAATAAGGAAGTAAAGTCCATCCATCCGTTCATCGTCTTTACCCGCTTTTTCCTTTTTGGGTCATGGGGGTCACTGCTGCCCGTATCCAGCAGTCACTGTGTGAGAGGCGGGGGACACCTGGACAGGTCTCCAGTCCATCACAGGGACACCTGGACAGGTCTCCAGTCCATCTGTGTAGCCCTTTGCACAACATTTAATTATTTAGAGCCATCCTTAAGATATTATTGGAACACCAGTGCCTTTGAGCTGCAAATGAATGTTTTAATACATTTAATACTCTTGGCATGTTAAACAAATATTAAACAAACAAAAGTTTTTTTGTTTTTTTAATTAAACATGCTAATTGATTCGAAGTTTCCAGGCCTGTTTTGTCCTCACAACAACTGTTCATTGATTCCAAAATAAACTACCGTGTGTATCCAGAACCTTACTGGAATGTGAAAAACCTCATAGTGTTATATTTATTGTCAGGGCACATTTGATGGAAATATACTCTTTTTTTGGGTCAAGAAGTCACATTTATATTTTGCAGAATATTTGTGAATGCTAAAGAAAGTGATGGGAATCTTGGATTTTTACGAAGTGATGAGTCAGACTGCAGCCAAAGGCTTGTGGAGGTTTGCATGGCCTGTCTGACCAAAGTTTTTTGGTGCCTCACAACAAAAGTGCCACGACGCTTATAAATATTTTTTACTGTGGAAATAGTGTTTAGCTGCAACATTGTGTATTTGTAGACAAATAATCTATCTGTGAGTTATTAATGAAATACACTCCCCTGTTCAGATGAATGTATTGCTGTTCATTTTCACAATATATATTTTTTAAATTTTGACTATTGGTTTGCCCTCGCCACTGTTTTAAATTGACAATCTGATAATAGATATTCACTTAAAATGAACCTCATATGTTGTTAAGGTTCAAAACAATAAACGGAACCATTATTCCTTTTAATCATGTCATTTTAAACTATTCAAATCTTTTCTAACATTAAATTCTGCTTAAAGGTTTTAAAAAATTGCTATAAAGTATGAAAAGAATGCGCAAATTTCTCCAAGTTAGTAAATTGATTTCTAGTTTAAAGATATGTAGACACTTAGAAAACTCTTCTCAGTTTTCATGCCTTTAATAGTAGATCCGTGTGTCATTGAAGGAGAGGATGTGTGATTTTGTGCCATCATATTGCCTTCTAAAAACAGCAAACTGTGCGAAGACGTTCAACATCATAGTGTGTTTACAAAATTCATTTTAAACTATATGGTCTGATATTTTTGTCACAGTTTTTGTTGTGTATTTTCTCTGAGTACTGCTCCGTTTACTTGAATAAATGTATCTGCAAAATATTCTGCAGCTGTGTTTTGAGTGTTGTTTGCATTGATAAGAACCGTTGGATTTACTCTTGCACTCTCTGTTCTTAATGGCATCAGAAAGCTGAGATTCACAGTTTTGTAAAAGAATGGTGGCTTGACCGCAACGCTGTGCAGAAATTCACACGTGCCTCAAAATGGAAAAAGGAAGGAGATCTTGCACTGTAACTGCACACAAAAATGTGCTTAATGTCATAGCTCTGCTCTCTGTCAGCTCCTCTGTCATGCTGCACACTCAGTAATCACTCAACTCATGTCACCTGTCACCGCTCATTATCCCACAGCTCCACCACCTGCTCCAGTCAGTACTTAAGCTCACTCATTCCTCTCAGTCTGGGCCAGATTCTCTATCCTGTCTCATCAGCAGTAGACCTTCCAGCATTCCATTGATTGACTCATCACGTTCATGACCCTTGCCTTGACCACGACCACGCTTTTGCCTCAGCCCTCGTCTGCTTTTGCTCATCTGATCAGGTACCGACTCATGCTCTTGTTTTTTGACTCTCTTTTTGGATCACGTACTGGATACTTCTGCTGAACAACTGACTTCACGGTATGAACTCTGCCTTTCCCTTCTGACTGTTTTTTGGATCACGGATTAAAGGTCAAGCTCATTTTGTATCACGGACTTATCCTTACCCCTGAATCTGATTCCCACAGATTCATTTCCCCAATTAGTCTCTTTCCCCCTGCATCTACTAACCTTTATCTTTTAATTGCAAGCCTGTTGGACTCCGTTCCAGTGGACCTTAACATCAGTCTACTTCTACTGGCAGCCCGCCACTACAACACTACCCAATCAGAAGATCGGAACCAGCCCAGAACCGGACCAACTCCAGAGTTTACTTTAGTTCACAATAAATCTTTTAACCCTCTCAGTGGTTGTTGTTGTTGTTTGCGATCCGGCCTCTGGTTCATGACACTTAAACACCTTTTTTTGCATGTTGGATCTTCATATTAAGTGTATTTAAACAGTTCTTGTGCTGGAAAAAAAACAGAACATTATATATGTTCTCTGTACAGAAGTTGTTGGCAAAAAATAATATTTGAGAATTTTGCATTCATACTGTTATAAATGTTTAAGTGCAGCTATGTGTGGTGATGGCTTTTTATACATTTTATATGGTTTCTTAAAAGAAATTTACATTTTGATCACTCAAAAAGGAGATATATTTGTTTTCAGACAGAGATAGGTTGCTGTATTGAGCTATAAATCCTGTTTTCCACTTTTTCCTGCTCCTTTCCATCAGCAATTCCCCTTATTTCACAACAGCTTTATGTATCTTATAAATGATGTAAAGTGACATAATCATTTCAGAGCTTCGTGGATATACCTTGATGATTTCAGGGTTCCTACAGATTTTACATTTAAAAATCCAGACTCTTCAAGTTTTAAGATTTTTCTGTCTTTTTTTTTTTTTTTTTTTTTTTTGTTTCTGCCTGCTTTTGACGATCAAGCAACATGTTTCGGAATAATATGTTTATAAACTGTTTTTATATTAATGGGTAACAACGTGTATAGTATATCAAGTTTAAGTCAAGTTTATAGTCATTCATTACACCCAAAAATAGCACAAATATAAAGAAACATTAAATAAGGAACTAAGATATACGCTAAACACTAATGTAAAACAATACGACATATCAACATCAGCACGAGCATGAGTCTGTGGTGAGCAGATAGGTATGAATGAATATAGCAGCAACACACAGCCCTGAGGAGCACCAGTGCTGAGGTGGAGGAGGAGAAGAGGTGTATTCCCACAGACTGAGGTCTGCTGGTTAAGAAATCCAGGACCCAGTTGCATAGGGAGGGGCTTAGTCTTAATGTTAGTAGTTTGTCCATCAGGGTCTGGGGAATCATGGTGTTGAAAGCAGATGTGAAGTCCACAAAGAGCATACAGACGGAGTCCTTCTTCTCCAGGTGGGTGAGAGCAGTGTGGACCACAGAGGAGATGGCGTCCTCTGTTGCTCGATTCTCGTGGTATGTGTACTGGTGAGAGTCCTCGCTGATGTTGATGGTTGCTTCGATGTGGGTCATAACCAGTTTTTGAAGCATTTGGTGACTATCAAGGTGAGGGCCACTGGCCGGAAGTCATTCAGACCAGTCGCTGCAGAGATCTTTGGAACTTGGATGGTGGTGGTGGTCTTCAGGCAGGTGGGAACTGTTGCCATGGGGAGGGAGGAGTTAAAGATGTCGGCTAACACCTCCCAGAGCTGATCGGCACAGTCCCTCAGCACCCTCCCTGGGATGTTGAGTGGGCCAGTTGCTTTGTGAGGATTAATCCTGAAGATCCTCATCATCACTATATATTTTAGTTTGCCGAAGATTCACCAAAAAGTTGTCGTTATAGAGTTTATATAGATAAAAACAATCATAAACTGGAAAAAGTAAGTTATAAATTCCTAATTTTCATAATATTGATGTGATGAACAAATAATTAAACTGCAGTGCGTTCCGATTTACAGTTTTTGACATTTGCACAGCTTTTGTCTCATGAACAAAAACGACTGTACCCATCTTTTGTATTTTATCAAGGTCAGTAGATTTTTAAAAATTAGGATTTTTTTAAAACAAGAACACTAGAAAATACAAAAAAAAAAAAAAAAAATCCTAAAATTTTCTATTTTTCATTCTTATCTGAACTTGGAAAACAATTTTTAAAAAATCCATATGTTTTTTCAGTTTACCTGATCCCTTTGACTTGAAACTTCACCGTTTTGAAACAATGATATGAATTTAACATTTATATGTATTTTAACTCCAATCAGTGCAGCTTTTAACTTTATTTATTGTATCATTTAACATTTAAGAGATGTCTTTTTCTGTGTTGAACAACAGATGGGTGTCATTTTTTAAAATAAGTGATTGTGTACGCACGCCCAACGACAGCCTGCGACAGACATTAGATGAAGAATCCTGCATTAGGTCAACAAATGTCCAGTTAGTTTGTGAAACGACAAGGCGCACTGCTTATTGCACCTTGTTCCAAGTAAATATTTGTGTAAAAATAAACTCGATACAAGGAGATCATTATTCGCCTCCACCCTTTTCCCACCCTCACCTCCTCCTGATGTTTGGACAAAAACAAACAGCGGTGGAGCCAATGCAGGGAGAAAACCCAGACGAGCTCACAGAGGGCCAGTATATATTGAGCTGCCTGCTGGACTTTTGGTTTCCTTCGCAGCAATCCAAGTGGTGCCACAGAGACCAGCACAGTAGAATCCACTGGACCTCCCAGACATGGCTCATCTAATCCTGCCAGTCTACCTTCTTCTCAGCTTCTCCTTGCTCTGCTGCAGCCGTCCATCTCGCTCAAGGAAAGCTCTTTCAGCCCGTCAGGCTGGAGGTAGCTCTGCAGAACATGCTGTTCATGAATACTTTTCTCTCTGACAATGTTTATCATCTGACCTGATTTATTGTCTTCTTGCTGAGGAGCAGCTGCAGAGGACGACGATGTGAAGACTCAGATTGAGAAGCTGTGGCAGGAGGTGAACTTACTGAAAGAGATGCAGGCGTTGCAGACAGGTAATGCCTTTGTTAAATACGTTATTAACTAATTAAAATTAAGACGACAATAGACTGAATGTATACACATTGCTGCACACTTTGAGGTACTTATAAAAATAACTTAATAAGTAGTTCACATTAAAAAAAAGACTAGTTAATAAGTAAATAATGCTTCTTCAGCCCATACTATTTTAAAGATATTGATGTGTTCAGTGACCACTAGAGGGCGACAGCGCTCATTTGATCTATTTATTTTTGAATTCATAAAATGAATTGCACAATGGATGTTTGCATAGTTGGTTACAAAATATTTTGATAAAGTTTCTGAACAGTGAGTAAACAAATCTCTGTTGAGAAATGTCCAATATGTATATATTAAACTCTATACCGAGCTCTTGATCTCTTGACATGCAGTATTTTCACTTTTATTACATTTCACTCCTAAAATAAGGTTTTTCTGTTTTCAGTGTGTCTCCGGGGCATCAAAGCTTACAGAAAGTGTTACCTCACAGCTGAGGAACCCAAACATTACCATGAGGCAAATGAAAACTGCATAGCTCAGGGAGGAACTCTTGCAACGCCACGGGACATGATGGAAAACAACGAGCTGAGGGACTATGCAAAGAGAAGTGCCCCAGGAACCAGGGACTTCTGGATTGGTGTGGCAGACATAGTGAAAGAAGGCCAATATGTGGACGTCAACAGCCTGCCCGTTAACTTCTTTAACTGGGATGGCTCCAAGAAGCAGCCGACAGGAACTACAAGGGAGAGCTGTGTTGTGCTTTCTGTGGCGGCTCAGGGAAAGTGGTACGATGAGGTGTGCCGGAGCCTGAAGAAGTACATCTGTGAATATATTATTCCCTGAAGGAAAAACAAAGATGACTGTTAATTTGATGAAATATTGAGGGGTTTTAACTAATTAAAACCATATAAAGATGGGTATCTGTTCATGACAGAAAGAAAAATTACCAGTAAGCTTTACCAAACACAGTAATACCTCACAAATTATTTGAGTTGTATTATGTTATTTGCTGGTAATTAAAGTTATAACGATGCTTTATATTCATGCAAGTCCAAAAGTCTGAAAGAAAGACTCTGTGCAATGTAAACAGAATAAACAAAAATCTAAACTTTTTTTTAATTGTTTTCATTTCTTTCATGAGCTCTTTTTTTAAACATTTAGACCGTTCCCTAGAATTGATTTTATAAGTTTCTCACCGTCAGTGTACGTGACATTTTTATATAATAAGTTTGCACAAAGTGCAAAGTTTTAACTTTTAATACTGACTGTTGAACAATAGTTTGTTTTAAGTGTTTTTATTATTATTATTATTATTTTCTTGTTGGACCATTGTGAAACAAAGACTAACAAAAATAAAACTATTCCTAAAACTAAAGTTAACTGAAACACAAAAGCAACTTTAGTTTATTCTTCTTAACTATTCCTTTGGCTTAAACCAACTGACAACCTTCTAAAAGCTCAGCAGCTCAATGAATGGAGGTGTAGATGTCTGTGATGGTGGGGAGACTGATTCCAACATCTTCTGTGCAGCCTTCACCACTCTCTGCAAAGCTTTTCTTTCTGCAGCTGTGCAGCCTCCATGCCACACGTTGATGCTGGAGCACAGGATGCTCTCCACTGCACACCTGTAGAAGGAGGTGAGGACTGAGCTTCCAGACCAGCTCGTCTCAGCCGCCTGAGGAAGTAGAGTCTCTGATGAGCTTTCTTCATCAGGCTGGTGGTGTTGTTGCCCCAGCTGAGGTTGTCATTCAAGTGCACACCCAAGTACTTGTAAATGTACACCACTTCCTCCAGAGATCCTCCTATGTTTGTGGGGGATTGTGAAGTCCACTACCATCTCCTTCATCTTCTTCACATTGATGTGAAGGTTGTTCTTCCTGCACCAGCTCTCCAGGTGTTCCACGCCCTACCTGTAGCCGGACTCATTGTTCGTGATGCATCCAAGCATCGCTGTATCATCTGCAAACTTTACAATATGACAGCCTGGATGGGTAGGTGCGCAGTCATATGTGCAGAGTGAACAGGAGGGGGCTCAGCACACAGCCCTGAGGGGAGCCAGTGCTGAGGGTTATGGTGGAGGAGGAGAAGTTGAAGATCCTCACAGACAGTGGTCTGCTGGTTAAGAAGTCCAGGACCCAGTTGCATAGGGAGGAGTTTAGTCCTAGTGTGAATAGTTTATCTATCAAGGTCTGGGAAATCAGGGTGCTGAAGACAGATGTGAAGTCTACACAGAACATACGGATATAGGAATCCTGCTCCAGGTGGGTGAAAGCAGTGAGGACCACAGAGGAGATGGCGTCCTCTGTTGATCGATCGGTATGCATACTAGTATGGGCCAGCACCTTGCAGAGCTGATCGGCACAGTCTCTCAGCACCATCCCTAGGATGCTGCCAGTTGCTTTGTGAGGATTAATCCTCCTGAAGGTCCTCCTTATTTCTGCTGAGGTCATGCTGAGGAACTCCTCTTCAGATGTTGAGGTGAGTCTGGTGCTGGGTGGTCTGTTTGGGTCTGCATGCATCTGTCCTTTGCGCTAGTGTTAATAATACCTACATGTTTGATGGGCTTGATACCTCAATACCTCATTGTTCTATTAAGGCTTTTTTACATTTTAATATTAAGCTCTAGTTTAGAGCAGATGTCCCTTTAATACTTAAATCATATCTGTGCATTTGGGCTCAAAACTTGCAAGAAAGAACATAAAAGTCTCAACATGACCTTTCCATGGACTGTTAGAGGGAACCCAGATCACTGAAAATAAACTGTAACAAACACAAAAGAAAGGCAAACATTCAGAAAGGGACAGCCTTCTTGCTGTGAGGTGACGATGTGAAATATGTTTCAGTGTTTGCTCAGCTTGTTGCTTCTGCTGCAGCCTGTGAAAAGCCAAAGCAAAATGTCTGAAAATGTAAAGTGACAACCATTAGTATCTCATTCTGTACTCCCAAATACACAACCCATGCCTTCACTACCACCGATTGTCCGTTTATAAAAACAAACAAAATACTCATTAAATAAATAACCCTGCTGACCTTTTGGAAATGAATCTAGTCAGCTTGAGTTTCAACGTCCCCGTGTCCTGATTTATTCAATAGAAAGAAGAAAATATATAAATAAAATGCACATTCATATGTCACAAGACAATTTAGAAAAAATAATGCCCTTCTGGGTTTCTAAAGTGTGTTTTTTGACTCTGAAAAAATAAACATTTGCCGTACATATTTAATCAATCACATAAATGTTTCAGTGTTCAAGAATTGTCAGATATCTGAAACTTCTTTTTTTTTTTTTTTATTAAAACTCGCAGGCTATTACATTGACATTTAAATTTTAGTAGTAGAAATGTTATATTAGAAATGTTTCATTTCAATTTTGACATTTAAGATCGTCAATATGACCCCTGGCAGTTAATGCTGCAATCTATATAAAATAACAAATTGCAACTTTCTTTAATTATATGCTACAACGTTCTGCTATACACTAGGCCGGACCGTGACGTCAAATCACTTCCAGCGAAGTCTCGCGGAGTAAAACATCGGCCATTTTTCTCCATTTATAGTTGGGCTCTGTTCCTGAATAGTGTCAGCGAGTGTTGCGATCACTTTGATAAGTCTGCCAACTTTGGACAAGTGCATTTTTGCTGTGCAAGCCTCCAAACTTACTACAAACCGAACACAAACGATGTTTGTGTTTACTGCTGCCAAGTTTTGTCGATGACATCCATGTCCGGATAGATGCTCGTCTAAACAGTCGTACAAATGGAAATCGTGCCTAGCGAGGAGAACCAGTTCGTACCCAAAGAGGTGAGGTTACTACAGGACCACGTCCCGATCCTAAAGTTAGCCTTCTGCCATTTCCCCAGGTCATTCGCGTGAATATTGGAGAAAGTTTGGCAATACTTTGGGAGTTGTGCGATCTTGGTGAGCGGGGTAGTAGCTAACTCGCAGCTAACACACTTCATACGGCCTATGCTATCTGGCTAAGCTAACAGTTAGCTAGTTTCGCTGCAACTCAGTCGGAGTGTATTTACGTTGGGAACAGAATCTTAAACACAGCTAATAGTCCGTCATTCATCTTTCATATTCAGATTTATTATAGTGCAAAACTTTAAACGTAACTGAGTGTTGCACTTGACATTACGTTATCTGCTGAAACACGACCGACATCTCCAGTGTCAACACCAGTTAGCTAACTTGCATAAACATTAGCTGGTAGGATTTGCTAAGCTAATGTCGCCGTTTTTTTTTTTTTTTTACATTTGGTTCGTGGCGATGACGCTTGCTAATTTAGATGTTGTTTTTTTAAATGTGATACACGCAGATGGCTACATAACGTACAACGACACAGCTCTGTCTCAGAAATGCGTAGTTTGAAGCTCTTTTCTGTGCAGTTTTCTTAGTTTCGGATAGAACCGTTTGTTGTTGACAAGTAAAACGTCTTCATGGCTGAACTCACAAGCCGTTTGTGTTACCTTTGAAGGTTTGTATCGGGCATGTGTTAATACTGTTAAAATGTGCTCGTTTTGTGGTTTAATGTTCACAACAAATTCAGGTCCTGGAGCAGAACTAGTTTTTTTTATTTGACCTTTTCATTTGGTTTGGTGAGTCACATAAATCTGCAGTTGTTATGTCATTAAACAGTACTGTGCATGATCGATTGTACTGCTTTGTGTAATCATTCGTGAGACTTGGATACTTTTAGCATTTGTCTGTGTTCTCTGGAAGCTGACACATGCTGAACCAGGTTAACAGGAAACAAAAGGGTAATATTACAAGGTAGTTCTTGCATGATTTGACAACCACGTTTAACAGTTCTGTTCAAATGTTGAATTGTGTACCTGGATTATTGAGCATGGACTTTATGTTCAAGTAGTTTTTAATTGTCTGGCTTTGTGACTACAAAAACACGGGTCTCAAAACATTTATTGGAGATTAAATGACAGCAGTTTACATTAACTTTAGTGTTGGACACTTGTTTTTGCTTTCAATGCATATGCTGATTGTGCACGACAATTTAGTAGATTATTTGAACATATTGCTTAGTAATAGTAAAAATAAGTGTGACTTGTGCCTATTAGGAGGAAATACACTTGGATGGTGTATTTTAAGCAAGTCAAAACATTATTTACCTGCTTCTGTTTGGATGTGTGATCTTTTAAGTGCTTTTAATTAGGCATTTTACATTTTCCTTAACCTTTTTAAGTTCACACAAATTGCAGTTTTTCCTATTCAACATAAGGACATGTACAAAAGTGCTCCTCACTTTATTTTACAACACTGTTGCAGTTGTTTAGGACGGTTATTAAATATAAGTGTAACAGTAGGTATTGTACATCAGCCCGTTTTGAATACTTGACCCTCAACATTTGAGATTTAACTTAAAGCAGTTGTCTATATTTACGTCACATGTCTTTTAAATAACTATTTTAGTGCTCCAACAATAGATGAATCACAAGATTGTAGCGTCTCGAGGTTTCTAAGAAAGTTTGGCAATGTTTACCTTATCTTTTATTATCAACAAACATTTATATCAGCAATGCTGGCAAGACTAATATAAAATGTAATACAATTGTCACTTAATGCTAGCAAGCATGTAATCAGGTGAACATTATTCTGTCACTAAGTTTATCTGATGTACTTAATGTTCACATTTTTGTTACTTTTGTGAATATTTGTTATAAGATTTGTTTTTATTTATAGATACTGATATTTATGATCTGTTAATTTTGCTCTGGTTATGAAGTTCTTGGTTTTTAAATACCCGCATTTGCAGTTAGATGTTGTTTTGTGTCAGCACCTTGTGATTATATCCAAGGTAAAAATAACATTTAATCTGATAATACACTTGTGTGCTGTCCGCTGTAGCTTCTTTAGAGGTTCCGTCAGTCACATTTTGCTAAGATCACAAACTTCACCAAGAGGTGCCGAAAACTGAAAGAACTGACTGGATTCCCTCAAATATGTCTTCCATTATCCGGGTGAATGATTTGCTAACCAAACGTATGTAAACAACGATTTATAATTAAATTTAAATTTGTCCTCAACTTGTTTTAAGGATATCTTTAAAGGTGTTTCCCCCCCCCAAAGTTTCTTTTGTTTGGGTTTTAAATTGTTCTTCATCTCAGTTGTGTCCACATGTTATTAGGACGAGTTTTGGAGATGCAGACAGAAAGTTTTTGATGAAATGAAGAGGATTTCTCAGGTGTGTGTGTGTGTGTGGGAAAGCATGGTTGAACAAACGCACCTTTTATGGTTTTTATACTCACAACGATAACCTCTTTAAATAGAAGTTGGCTCCAGTTCGAACCGATTTATCAGTCATAACAAACAGAACTGACAAATATATGATCTATGTGCTGGAAAGTTATTTTCAAATACAAATTTAATTTCTGTTACATGTTAGGATTATGAGTATGTCCAACAGTGCGTTAAATGTTTAGAATACTATATAACCATGCCTAAGTAAAATATAGCATTGAGTATGTATTTTTTTAAGTCAATAGAATCATCCAGTCAATTTTTTTTCCTGTTTTAAGTTTTGGAATAAACGCATTTGTTATTTTATAAAATATGGTCAGTTTTAATGCTGTAAAAACGTAAACGTGACTGTGCTTTAAAATAGATTTTTCTGAACTTCAGCGATGCGTTCAAATGTTACCAAATTTAGATTGTAAATATTCAGTTGCTGCTCTACAGTTCTCAAAGTTATAACATTAATAAGATTTTTTTTCATGCTACATGAGGGCAGTTTTCACAGTTTTTGTTACCTGACTTAAACTTAACAACGAACAAAACGTGATAGACCAATCAAAAAACATGAAATGTTCTGATGATGGCATGGCTTGCTGCAACTTGAAACACTGGTTCCACTGGAAAGGCACATTTTGCTGAATGTTGTCCTGTAGAATGAAGCATGAGTCAGTCGGTGTTGGCATGTTTTCTTTCATTAAAACAAACGGACATTGCGTTTAATGCAGAAGACTATAGACCACATGCTACACTTACAAGTGCACATATCCTGTTGGGAAGGAGGAATTTATTTAGTCTTTTATTGCGTTAGTTTTAATTTTTATAATTGTACATCTCTTCAGTTGTTTTGAAAGGTCTTTATAAATAAAAGTGGTGTGTAAAGAGTCAGTGAAAAAGTTAACTAGTACCGTAACGGAGGGAAATAAAGGTGAGCTGATTTTACGCCACTGTCATTTTTAAAATGTGGGGCTCCTGCATGTCACTGCCACATAAAATTATATTTGAAATATTAAGAGTTTATAATTGGGCAATGCAATATTCATTTATCATCTTCAACTAAACAAAAGTTTTTGGTGATTATTTATTACAGCATCATAAATTACTCTTTCTAATTTAGTGTTTTGCTATATAAAACTGCTATCAGAAAAAAAATGTACAAGAACTTTCATTCTTCTTGATTTTTAGATACAGAATGCAGCTGAGGAGCCCAGAGTGCTGTGTATAATCCAGGACACCACCAGCGCAAAAACGATCAACGAGAGGCTGACCCTCAACTTGCCTGCTTCCACAACTCTTTCCAAACTTTATGAGGACATTGCACACAAAGCTGGATATGTGACCGGCACGTTTGAGCTCGCATGGGGAAACATTACGGACATGGTGAGAAAATCCACCGACACGAACAGATGGTGGCTGCGCGTGAAATTGTTTTCCACACGAAAATCTTCAAAGTTCTCCGTGTAGTTGGGGATTTTAACTCGCGGGTCAGTGGTTGGGTTTCAGCGCTTCAATCTTGAGTTCTGCCATGTGCGGAAGCAAACACTGAATCCTGAATTGTCCCTGAAATACTTACCTGTGTGACTGCAGACCTGTGAAGACCTCCTTTCAACAGCATGCTGCCACAACTATTAGAATAGCACTTCCATCCATCCAATAATTCATCCGCTCATTTTCTTTAATTCCATGCAGGGCTGCTGGGAGCTGGTACCTATCTGCATTGGTCAGAATAGCATTTAATAAAAGTCACTATTTTATCTTTCCATAGCATATCAGTCATACTGGTCATAATGTAATTGTTTTTAAGCAACAGTGTATAAAAAGTATTTTTATAAACATAGTGCAGCTACACACATTTCAATGAGTCTCATCTTTAAAAATGTAGTTAGAAAACGTTTCGCAGCGTATGACCTACTGTTCTTCAGCCAGAGTTGTGTATTTTAGGAGCAACAAGCAAAAATAGTTTTTGAATGGAGCGAGGAGTTGTAACGGACGAACAAATGGTTCCGTTTGTTTCTTCATTTTATTTTCACACCTGGGAAAAAATGAAAGGGTCCGTTTTAAAATTAGTGCTTAACTGTAGTTTGGTTGAAAATTCATGGCAGCATCATCTGTACCTTCTACGGTAAGCTCAAAATTAAAGATTTTTGACATTGCAATTTTATTTAATTTTTTCCGAGCCAGCAGTTTAGATGAACGGTTTACTTTTTGAAGCGCGCTGTAAAATTGTTTCCAACAAGGACCAAGAACTTTTGCTTGAATCTCAAAGAATAGAAGTTTGTTTTCGTTGTTTGTACGCAATATTCCCTTTTCTTATATGAGCCCAGGCTAATCCTGCTGCTGACCCAGGCCAAAGCCCAAGTGCTGTGCCTGTTGTTATCTCACTGAGTAGGTCAGTGGATTAGGCTACTGCAGCACTTGCTTGTCCTCAGCTTGCTTGGTGAAAGACATCTATGCAGCGTCACATGGTGACTTCAAATGGCTTTTTTTTTTTTTCATGCTCATGAAGACATTTGTTTCTGAATTCAAATAGAGTCTGGATATTTTTGCGAATTCCTCATGCTTGCATTTTACAAAAGGTTTTTACTATTCTAGTTGCAATTTTTCTTGTTTTTCGTGGAAACTTTCTATGTAACTCGTTGGGTTTTTGATTTACTCTTCCTTTTTTTCAAGGCGCCCCTGGAACAGAACAGTGAGATGTCCCTCTCAAGCGCTGGGTTCCAGCCTGGTAAGAAGAATTTTCTTCAGCTTACAGATAAAGACGGAGAGCAGCCGCAGATTGCATCGGTAAGAGATACAATATTTAAAACCAAAAATATTCATTAAACAATTTGAAAACCTTCAGTTCTTTTTAAAGATGAGTGTGGAAATGACGGCTAAAGTTTTCTTTTTCCGTGCAGGATGAATCAGGAGCAGCGGATAGCAGTGGGCTGGATGACAGCTCCCAGGAGCAATTTATTGGACCCCTACAAAGAGATGGTAGTGCAGGTGGCAGCGGCGACTACAGCAGCCCATTATACTCCTACTCATCTATCCTCAGTAAATCTGAGACAGGTGAGAGTTAGCCACCTGTTGAATATTCACCTCCACTGCTTTTATACAATTTCAAGTTACCTGTTGTATCTTTCTGTATAATTCATTAGTTTCTTTTGTCCACCTTCAGGTTACGTAGGCTTGGTTAACCAAGCTATGACATGTTATTTGAACAGTCTTCTGCAAACGCTTTTTATGACACCAGAGTTCAGAAATGCACTCTATAAGTAAGGAACCGCCATCATGTCTTTCATTGTGACGTTTGTAAAGAATAAATGATAAAATCCTTTCATAACTGTGCAACTTCAGCTGGGAGTTTGAGGAGTCGGAGGAGGATCCAGTCACCAGTATACCATACCAGCTGCAACGGCTGTTTGTTTTGCTGCAGACCAGCAAGAAACGGGCCATTGAGACCACCGATGTGACGAGGAGCTTCGGTTGGGATAGCAGTGAGGGTGAGTTTTTAGTCTCTTGTGATCAAAGACACGTGGTTTCTCTGCGCATGTGCTTCTCCATTTTACAACTTAAAAATGTACTTTGTTTTAAATTTTCATTAGCTTGGCAGCAGCATGATGTCCAGGAACTGTGCAGGGTCATGTTTGATGCCCTGGAGCAGAAATGGAAGCAAACAGAACAGGTAACAGGAAACAAAATGTTTTTTTAAAATTCCAGTCATAGATTTTCAGAAGATGAATAAAAGCCTAGTGTGAAAAAGTGAAATGGGCCACAAAACCCCAGGGTTAGGCTTTTTTTCTTCTTCTCATCTATAAAGTGACTTTTATACTATCAGCACTTGGTTCAATGTTGGTATTTGCAACAATCTGGTCTGTACATGTGACATAGTGAATGCACCTGTGAACTCTAATAACTAGAAGTCACTGCTCATACATTTATTCCCTCTATTTTCCAGCAAAACAAAACTGAAATAATAATTTAACTGTTTCTTTTCATCATTCTTATTTTATCTTAAATTGTACAAGCATCTCATAAATAATTTATAATTTTTATACATTGATTTTATATGGCTTTATTTAGCACATGAAAGCAGTTTGTGGGGGAAAAAGCCCAGAATAAAAATGATGATGATGATGATGAGACGTGATTGTCACGCCACTGTATCTCCAGGCTGATCTGATCAACCAGTTGTATCAAGGGAAGTTGAAAGATTATGTGCGCTGTTTGGAGTGCGGCTACGAGAGCTGGAGAATCGATATTTACTTGGACATCCCTCTTGTGATCAGACCTTTTGGAGCCAGCCAGGCCTATGGGAGCGTGGTACGTTTGTCTTAACGTTAATTCCTTTGAAAATTTAACCCATTAAAGACTGTTATTACAGTTTCCACTTAGTTTACTCTTCTCCATTTCACTGTTACTTCAAATTTATTTTAACGCATTTATACTTTAATTTAAATAACCCTAAAATTGTTCATTTGTTGCTGCAGGAGGAGGCTTTGCAGGCATTCATCCAGCCTGAAACTCTGGATGGGCCCAACCAGTACTTCTGTGAACGCTGCAAAAAGAAGTGTGATGCTCGAAAGGTGCCCGTGCTGAAAACATGGCGACGACGTGTTAAAGGAATACAGTGTCTTCTGCCCATCTAATTATTTATTGAATATTTCTTTCCCCAGGGTCTGAGATTTCTGCACTTGCCCTACCTGCTGACATTACAGCTGAAAAGGTTTGATTTTGACTACACCACTATGCATCGCATTAAGCTAAACGACCGCATGACTTTCCCTGAGGAGCTTGATATGAGTCCATTCATCGATGTAGAAGATGAGGTGAGAGCAGCCACATCTCTGATTTTATTTAAATTAGTAACTCATAGTGGATTTACTTTTTGAGCAGTTAAAATGTGATTATTTGTCATAATAATTTGATGGACAGAAGCTAACAAGCAGTCACGGGGTTAAAAAGTCCAAAAACACATAAAACATCTAACAATGTTTATACAGCATTAATTAAAAAAAAATCTGTCTTATGAAATACTGATTTTTTTTTTTTCTATATTTTTAAGATTAAATATGAGACACGGTTAGAAAAGTCACTTTGAAAACGTTGAGCACTTGACTTGTGGAAAAAGTAAAAGAAACTTCCAATAATTCAAAATCTTGGCCACAAAGCCTCAAACATTTTCTAAATGTTTTTGGGCTAATATTATTATTTCTGTCATTGTTCAAACTTCATTTTATAGTTGTGATTCTGGATTCAATGAGCCTTTTTAAAAAGCAGAATTATTTAGAATTTTATTCATTAATCAAGCAACTTTTGTGTTAGTTGGCCAGTAATATAAAACAGCTGGTAAAATTTGTGAATTCTTCTACTTGATGATATTCAGGCTTAAGTGTGTTAAAGTACAAATAATTCTGTTTTAGCCATATTTTAGTTAGTGACGCTGACGGAGGCCACTCTAAAGTGTTACCTTGTTGTCTGTCCTGTCACTGATACCAAGCTCTGTTTATGCCACACTGGTGCCACAATGGTTTGTGTGGCGTGGCCAGGGAAACGATAATCAGCATTCATCGTTTTCTGTAGGTCTTGATCTGTCGTATTGTGGTTCTGCCTTATCTTGTGAAACATTCTGCCGTGTGCTTTTGAGTTTGTCTCATTAAGGCGACACATAAAAGCTTGTTGAAAATGGTCTCTCGTCTTTGTAACCCTCTCCTATTTGCTCTAAAATACCTCCTCTCCAGAAGTCGCCTCAAACAGAGAGCTGCACTGATAGTGGTGCAGAGAATGAAGGCAGTTGCCACAGTGACCAAATGAGCAATGATTTTTCCACTGATGACTGTGTGGACGAGGGCATCTGCTTGGACAGCACTAGCAACACAGAGAGGGCGCTGAAGCCAAAGGTAATCATCTCTCGCTTTTTGGTAAATGGATGTTATCCATTTACTTGGTTAGTCAAGACTGTCCCTGAATGCTCCTGAATAGTGAAACATGAGTGGAAGGTTTGAACAGGGACAAAACTATGTTGAGCCTGGATAGTCCAAGTCTTTTAATCTGGCATACAATCCATGTTATAGCAGATGTTTAGACTGTGTCATCAATTTGTAAACAAAGTTGTTCATTTTGTACATTTTTATCACTCGGACCTGGCGCAAATAAATCAATGGACTCGTGTTTTATTCACGTTACAAAGCCCAACAATTGTTAAACAAAATGGCAGAAAAAAATGACAAGTTTGCTCTTTATCCTGGCAGCTAAAAACAAACGGGTGATCTTGGATTTCAATAATCTATAAAGAAATCTGGGATTGAAATTGTGGATAATGATTCTGACTTTAAAAATTATCTTTTGGCTAAATTTACTGTCATACGCTTCAACTCCATGATCCTTTAATGTAGAAAGACGTAAAACTGACCTTTTGCAAATTATAAAAGTAGTTTTTAACGGGGAGTGGTGGTACAGAGGTTAGTGAAGGTGGGCCTGTGAGCGGAAGGTCGCCGGTTAAACTTCCCGGACCGACGACATAAAAATGTGGGTGGGAATGGTGAAACCCCAACACCTGCCTCCACCCCTATTTGCCCCACTTTGAGCCCTTGAGCAAGGACTTTAACCCCCATCATCTGCTCCCCCGGCGCCCTAGATGGCAGCTCTGCTCCACACGGGGGGCTGTGGTAGCTCGGTGGTCCGGCGTAAAAACAATCAAGTCTTCATGCGAGTTACTTCGCTGTGGCGACCTCTGAAGAAGGGAGCAGCCGAAAGAAGAAGGAAAAAAAGTTTAGTTTTTTATGCCGTTTACCCATCTGTACCTGTTGTACCAGTGTTGTTACAAGACACAATCCCCCAAAATGCTACTACGTAGTTGTCTTCCAGCAGACGTATTCTGCATGTGTGCAGGACTCCAGTAATGGCTAAGCAACACCAAAATTGTCAACTTGGTTGGAGCGTCTGTTTAAAAAGTTTCTTTATTTTCAGAGCTTGCTGACTTTTGAGCTGTTTTCTGTCATGGTCCATTCGGGAAGTGCCGCAGGTGGTCACTACTACGCCTATATCAAGTCCTTCAGTGATGGTCAGTGGTACAGCTTCAATGATCAACATGTTAGTAAGGTAAGCCTCAGCCTCTTAATTACCTGTTTTATTCTTTAACAGAAATCCACTGATTTATCCACGTCATGGTTACTGAAAGCCTTTTTATGACTTTATGTGTATTCTGTAAATAAATGTTTATTATGTTGTGACTTTTAGAAATGTTTAAACATTTTGCACATTTCTGTGTGAGACAGATCACCCAGGATGATATTAGGAAAACATACGGGGGTTCCTCAGGGAGCAGAGGCTATTATTCCAGTGCCTTTGCAAGGTCAGTTGTCGGATAACCAAGATGCTATTATTTTGTTTTCATGTACATCTTTGTTCAGATGGGATTTGTATATTCTTTGCAACTGCAACACATATTTTCTCTCAACAGTTCTACAAATGGATATATGCTGATTTATAGACTGAAAGATCCCTCAAGGAACGCAAGTAAGAGCCTCATAATTAAATCGGCATAGAAAAGGCCATTTGCTGCTGACTTTAGTCACGTAGTTGGGTTAAAGTTTGTTTATTTGATTTTATATGTGAAGTATTTCTGTGTCCTTTCTGCAGAGGTTTTAGATGTGGAAGACTTTCCAGAGCACATAAAGAGTCTGGTTCAGAAGGAGAAAGAGTCTGAGGAGCAAGAAAAACGCCAGAGAGAGATTGAGCGCAACACTTGCAAGGTGCACGTCTTTGGATCGGTCTGAGCGCGTGCGTTTGAAAACGGGGCGGTTCGCACGTAAACGTTTTATTTTAGTCAAACTTGCGATCTCTCTCTTCAGATCAAGCTTTTCTGCATGCATCCTGTAAAGATGATGATGGAGAGCAAGTTGGAAGTTCACAAGGACAAAACGCTGAAAGAAGCAACAGAAATGTCCTACAAGGTCTTGAGTTGTTTCTGCTTTTTTCCTAGCTTAGTTTTGTGTTTCACCAACAACCTTATGGTTGTGCTGCGTGGCTGCAGCCAACTCTTGATTAACAAACGTGGTAATGGGACTGAGCTTGTGCATTCAGGCTCTCGTTTCTTCCCCACGTGACCTTGATAAAAGAAAAGCTGAAGAATTTCCACTTGGGTTTTTGTGATTATTTGTGGGTTCTTTCCCTCAGATGATGGAGCTGGAAGGAGTCGTTCCTCTGGAATGCTGTCGCTTGGTAAAATACGATGAGTTTCACGAGTATCTGGAGAGATCGTACGAAGGAGAAGAAGACACTCCCATGGGGCTCCTCCTCGGAGGTGTCAAGTCTTCATACATGTTCGACCTGCTTCTCGAGTCTCGCAGGCCAGAACAAGTGTTCCAGCCTTACAAACCTGGAGGTTAGTAAGCCGCTTGTTTTCAGATATTTACCATTAATAAGAATGTTTTTACGTTTTATGGATGTGCCTATTAAAGGTGCTGTTGTGCAAAAGGTATAACTAAACCATAAATGTGATTATTGTCTTTGGATAGCAAAATGTATTGTAGGACAATCTTGACGGTTAGAAACGAACTCTTTTGATTAGTGAATATAAATGTTAGATTACCAGGCCAAACATTTGTAAGATATGTTTTTTGTAATTGTCCGCAGAAGTGATGGTGAAGGTTCATGTTGTGGATCTGAAGACCGAGTCCATTGCCTCTCCAATCAGTGTTCGAGCATACTTGAACCAGTCAATCACTGAATTCAAACTGCTCATTGCACAGGTTTATTAATTCTCTCACTTTTACACTGCAAGTTATTTCACCTGTGTAACGATAACAAAAAAATTCCCATGACGATGTGTAATTGTGTCTGAGCATTTTGCGTGTGTTTCCCAGGCTACAGGGCTTTCTGCAGAAACCATGCGAGTAGTCTTGGAGCGCTGCTATAATGACCTCCGGCTCCTTCATGTTCCAAACAAGACGCTTAAAGCCGAGGGATTCTTTAGGAGTAACAAGGTTTTAGTAATTGCGTTCTAACAACTTGAAACTTAAAAATACTTCAAAAAAGTATTATACACAAGTTTATATGTTGACATATTTGTTTTTATTTTCATCAGGTGTTTGTAGAGAGCTCTGAGCTGTCGGATCATCAGGTTCCTTTCTCAGACTCGCTCTTGTGGAAGCTCTTGGATCGTCACGGGAATACGATCCGACTCTTTGTCTTACTGCCTGAGCAGTCTCCTGGTACCCTGGCTAACAGAACTGTTTGCCAAAAAGTGGGAGAAGACTGCGATGGACCCTTTGAGGGTTCAAAAGACAACAGGAAATCCGTAGAAGCTATTCTCGAGGAAAGCACCGAAAAATTAAAAAACTTGTCTTTGCAGCAGCAGGGGTCCAGCACAAGCGACAGCCAAAAAAGCTCGGATGCCAGTGACTTTGAGCACATCGAGTCTCCGATCCAAGAAGCGGACTCGAACGCTTCGCTCTGCGTGGCTGCAGACAACCGAGAGTTAGAGAACCGGATCAAAGCCACACCCAGCGGGGGCGCCTCATATGACACCGAGAACCAGTTTGCCTGCGAGGAACGGTCGGACTCTGAGGTGAACAATGATCGTAGCACGAGCTCAGTGGACAGTGACATTCTGAGCTCCAGCCACAGCAGCGACACGCTGTGTAACGCAGACAGCGGCCCCATCCAGCTGGCCAACGGCTTGGATTCACACAGCATTACAAGTAGCCGACGGTCCAAAGCCCACGAGGGGAAGAAAGAGACGTGGGACACTGCTGAGGAAGACTCTGGAACAGACAGCGAGTACGACGACAATGGGAAAAGCAAAGCAGAAGCTCAGTACCTGTACTTCAGAGCAGAACCTTACGCTCAGGAAGAAGCTTTATGGGAAACACAAAAATGTATAAACCTTTTTATTTATAATTAAAAAATACTTTTCTTGTTTTAAAAAAATGTATTTCAATTTTAATTACATTTTAATTGTGGGTACATACATTTAATTCAAGCCCATACGTGTTCACTAGCTAGAATATATATATATATATATATATATATATATATATATATATATATATATATATATATATATATACAGTAGTCCCTCGCTACTTCGCGGCTCGTTTTTTGCAGATTCACTATATCGCGGTTTTTCAAAGTTAGATTGGACATGACACAAATGGCTGATTAATGTATGAGCCATGGGTTGTTTATTTAAAATTAATTATTTTAAATGATTTTGCACGTGTGTGCAGCCCACAAGTGAAGAGAAAGCTCATTCCTGCAGCTGATCAGCTGATCTCCTTCTCTGCCTTGCGCACACATTTCTCCTGCTGCAGCTTTTTGAAGGGTTAACCCTTTGCTGTCCAGATGAACCGATCTAATTTGTCTTCCAACTTAAAACTTAAAGTATGTCACATCGTAAAATCATCATAATCACAAAATACAATTGTTAAAAAGTTATTTTTAATTATTTTAGAACTTCTGTGTTCAGTTGTTGAAGTGTGATTGATCAAAAAGTAAATTTCTGCTCCGTGCTGCAGAGCTGAAGCTGTGTGACATCCCTTTGGTGTCCTGCTGCTCTTCTCTACAATTTAAATGTAAATACTGTAACATTTTAAATAATCAATCCATGCTGCATGGATTGATTATTTAAAATGTTACAGTATTTACATTTAAATTGTTTATGTAAGGAGGGAGATTGGGAGAACAGGTGATGGATGTGATTACAGCCTGGCACATGTCCTGACAAAGTTTACTGAACTTGAACTACTGTACTCCTACTTAGCAGTTTTTCACTTATCGCGGGTCGACGTGGTCCCAAACACCTGCGATTTTCTATTAGTGCTTAGTGTATTCTTAGTTTAGTGTATTTCTTAGTTCGTCTCGGATCTTATTACTATTTTCCTTTACAATTTGTATATTTGTTGGATGTAACTGGGATCCTATGTACTTAGTTTCATTCCACCTCGTGTACCACATGTGATGTGAATGACTGTAAAAAACCTTGAGTCCTAAACGAGGGACTACTCCATACCAGCTAGTGATAAAAGAACGTTTGACAATCACTTCAGCTTTTTTCTTTTGGTGGATTTGTTCTGACAAATTACAATTTGTGTGTTACGTGATCATTTTCAGGCGTGGTGGTTCATGTGGACAAGAGAATAACGTTGGCAGCGTTCAAACAGAGGTTGGAGCCTTACGTAGGTGTGATGTCATCCCAGTTCAAGGTGTTTCGGGTTTATGCCAACAACCAGGAGTTCGAGAGCGTACGTCTCAATGAAACACTTTCGTCATTCTCCGACGATAACAAGGTCAGAACAGCCTGTTCAGGATATATTCGTTCACACCAATAGTTTATATGAGAAAGCACTTACGTTTAATATGTGACGTCTTTTCTTTGTTTATTTTAGATAACCATTCGACTTGGAAGAGCTCTGAAAAAGGGTGAATACAGAGTTAAAGTGTATCAGCTTCTAGCAAATGAACCAGAGGTAAGACCCGGGCACACATTTTCTCAATACGGTTGCACAGAGTTGTAAAAGTGAAAATGTTGCGTTGCCATTGTTTATGTCCGTACGATGACAATTTGTTCTCAATTAATCCGTCACTCGCATGAGATGCACAAGTGGAGCAGCAAGCAGCTATTCAAGCATTTGGGGAATTGGTGTTGATGTTCTAACATAAAATGTTTCATATGTGGGTAACTGATTTTAGGGGCCAGAACAATGTCTGCATTGTCCTGCTTTACTGTCATTAATTCATGGTTGAAGGCCTTTGAGCAAGGCATCATTCCCCCCTCAGATGGAGCTCAGGGCGTCTGTTGACTTTCTTTATTGTGTGTTTAGTTCAACACTTTCATGTGTGCATAACTTACGGTTTGGTTAAATGAAGTCAAGTTATTGTGTTTACAAACGGGCTGGCAAAATAGCATATACTGTATATGTATACACTGGTATATATATTTATATATGTTTTAATTGTGTTTTTTTGTCCTAAGCCTTGTAAATTCCTTGTGGACACGGTGTTTGCTAAGGGCATGACCGTCAGACAGTCCAAGGAGGAGCTGCTTCCTCAGTTAAAAGATCAGTGCAAGCTTGACCTCTGCATCGACAGGTACAATGATTCTTGGATACGTTTTTAACCGAGTCACAATATCTTAGGAGAAAATGTGTACAGAGTTTTATTTTTGTTTCTGTGTTTAGGGTTCGCCTCAGAAAAAAGACCTGGAAGAATCCAGGCACAGTGTTTCTGGATTACCACGTCTACGAAGAAGACATCAGCATTTCTTCCAACTGGGAGGTTTTCTTGGAAGTCCTTAATGGTACTAATACATCTAGTTTAAATGAAACATCCTGCAGTTTCTTCTAAATCAACTGAAAATGCTTTATGCAGATTAAACATGTGCAAATGAACATAACATTTTAAGTTAGGAAAGTGGTGTCTGATTATTACAAGTAAAAAAACAAACAATTGAGCCACATTTTCAATGATTTGTTGCTTTTGGAGATTCAACACAATATTGCACTAATGAAAAAATGTCTCGCCGTTAAACTTCATAAACATCTGGGAATATACGCTCGGTCTGTAGGAGAATGCAACACATTGCTTTTGTTTTAGGTTTAGCATGGCTGGTTGATCCATTGTTTGCCATTTTTCAGAACCAGAGAAGATGAAGTCCATGTCGCAGCTGGCCATTCTGACTCGACGGTGGAGTCCGGCTACAATGAAGCTTGGTCCGTTCCAGGAGGTGATTCTGGAGAGCAGCAGTGCAGACGAGCTCAAGGAAAAGGTGTTACTTTGACATTGTTGTGACATATTTGGTTCACGGTGTTTAACGTGTAGTTTTATGACATCAACATTTTTGTAAGAGAATAAGAACATAATGTATTTTCATGGGACAGAGGTGTGTATAACTAGTAAAACTTGTTCAAAGGCAAATCTGACTTTTTAAAATGCACTTTAAATAGGAACAGTTATTTATGAAATGAGTAACTGACAACATTGTGTTGCAAGTGGAAAACATCATTTTCCTTTTCTAACAGTCACATGTGTCTCCATCTGCTGGATGAATGAAAGATGGCAGCTTCCAAGCTCACGCACTTTCACACACCATTTATCTCGTATACACTCTGTGCTAGTGGTGGGCGATATGGCTCAAATATAATATCGTGATATTTCAGAGCATTCTGACGATAACGATAAATTTTGCGATATAACCCC